TAGAGACGGGGTTTCACCATGTTGACCAGGATGGTCTCGATCTCTTGACCTCGTGATCCACCCGCCTCGGCCTCCCAAAGTGCTGGGATTACAGGCTTGAGCCACCGCGCCCGGCCCCGATCTTTAGTTTTTTGAGATCTAGCTGCACTATTTTACATTCCCACCATCATCGTGTGAGAATTCAGATTTCTCCACATCGTTACCTACACTCATTGTTTTCTGTTTTTTGAGCCTGGGTTAGGTTCCACTCCCGTTGGCCATGTGGAGTGCGGTGTTGTAGTCTCGGCTCACTGCTTCCTCGACATCCCAGGCACGATCAAGGCTGGGAGTGGCATGATCTCATTGACGTCCTGGGGGTGGGTATTCTCCAGTTTGTGCTGCAGGTGCCCGAGAGGCAGGTGGATTGCCGCGTGCAGCTGTACCACTCAAGCCTCCGCCTGCCGCACGTGGAGAGCAGCAGTCACCTGAAGGTGCAGTACAACAGGCGGCCACTGTTGGTGGCAGGCGGGCAGTGGAAGGACACATCTCGGACCACTCTGTGGAAATGGGAAGGTGAGTGTGGGCTGTGGGGCCTCCTTGGCCAGCAGCTCAGATTTCTGACCTCCAGGCCTTTGCTGAAGCTGTACCTTTTCCCTGGAACACCTTTTCCTTTTATTTGCTAGCCTAACTCAACACTCAAATGGGGCCAGACACGGTGGCTCACGCCTGTCATCCCAGCACTGTGGGAGGCCTTCTCGAGGCCAGGAGTCTGAGATCAGCCTGGGCAACATAGTAGGACCCTGTCTTAATTTTAAAAGCAAACAAACAAAAATTCTCATCTTTAATGAGTCCCATGATGCTTATCGTTACATCCTAACTTTTTACCCTGGCCAGTCAAGCATCAGGTTGCCTTCAACTCCATCCTTGTCCAACCCCACTCTCCCCATTGCTCGTTATCCTGCAGCCTTCAAGACCTGTTTTTCTTCTCCAGACATACCCCAATGCCTTTGCATTTACGGATCTTTGTGTCTGGAAAACACTGTCCCTCACTTTTTAAAACTGGATCCACCTGCCTGGGTGATGTGGCTCACACCTGTAATCCCAGCACTTTGGGAAGCTGATGTGCGCAGATTACTTGAGGTCAGGAGTTTGAGACCAGCCTGGCCAACATGGTGAAACGCCTGTCTCTACTAAAAATACAAAAATGAGCCTTGTGTGGTGGTGGGCATCTGTAATCCCAGGTACTTAGGAGGCTTAGGCAGGAGAATTGCTTGAACTTGGGAGGTGAAGGTTGCCCTGAGTTGAGATCACAACACTGCACTGGAGCCTGGGCAACAAGAGTGAAATTTTGTCTCAAAAAAGCAAAAAACCAAAAACCAAAACAAACAAAATCCACCATAGTTTATCCAGGAATTCATTTTTTCAATTTTTATTTTTACTGAAGTGATACCTAGTTTAAAAGTGAATTCGACTGTGAGTTTCTCATTGTTGGAGCTTGGTCCCTCCGTGTTACATGGGGGCTCATCTTATTATGCTCTCTGCTCTTGTATGGACTTAAACTACCTTGTTTTTTTTTGTTGTT